AAAACCTTGACATCCGTATAAAGCATCTCAAATGACAGAGCCTGCCCGACTAATGTACCTGCATACACCTGAGATCTCACTGTGAATTGATGGATGCTGTGAGAGCCCTTGTTTCTATCAAACATATAGATGATTATTGCATTTTTTTTCTTTGTCTTCTTAATTTTTGTTCTTTGGGTGTGGAATGGAGCTTTTTGTTTCTCCATAGGAGGTGGTTGTAACACAATTCCTGCCTCTGCATACCATGTGCATGCTCTCCTTGGATTATACTGATTTGCTTCAAGCCATACAATTGCTGTATATTCATTGGCACTGGAGGAGAATTGCTCATTGTTCATGTATCCACCTCTGCTGTCCACAAAAGTGAAAAGATCAGGTTGTTCCTGCTACGGTCCTATTTGTGGGATTATTTATTTGCTGATGATTAAACTAACAACAAGTGCTTTCAGGCAGAGAACATGCATCAGGAAGGATTGCTTTTATGTATTATAATTACATGCCTAGTTTGTGGAGTCTCTGTCACACATCCTGGGGCAAAATGTAAAAGAGAAAATAATTATATGAAGATACATTGTTCAGGCATCCCCAATGTTCGGTCCATTTTAAACTCATAAAATAATTAATAGGCTGAAGAAGTAAATTGATGAGACTGAAATAGTCTGTGACCACTTTATATTGCTTTTTCTGATCTCAGCTGTGCAAGTTCTCTGAAGCAACAGAGGAATTTTTCTTTCTGTGCATGTCCCAGTTTAATTATGGCTCTTCCAGAATCCTGATTAGAGAAAACTGTCTTGTGTATGATTGGATATTTGCACCCAAGATTAAAAATTTATTTTCAGAGAAGTGGCCAAAAGTTATTTAGTCTTAAAGGACTCTCTGTCTTGTAGCTTTGTTACAAAAAATATTATTTGCCATTAATTGTAATTTTGGTTTTGAGTTGAAAAGACAAATATCCCAAGAGAAAAGCTTCTGAAATGGCCACTTCCCTAGTTGAGTAGGGCATGGAAATCCCAAGCCATACTGAAATAGTCCCCTCTTCCAGTCACCCTTCATTGCTCATAGTCCCTTCTGCCCTCTCTTGTTAACCCCCGCCGTGGGCAGTGGCAGCAGTCGGTGAGGTTCACCTGCACATGTGGCTTTGGTAGCAGTCACACTCCTCATGACACCACTGCAGTCCAGATGTGGATTTGGCAGTGCTGAAATAAATGGAAGATGAGGACGGTGTTGCTGCTCTGTTAAATACCAGCTCAGCTGTGTCTGCTCTCGGTGGGGCAAAGCTCTCCTGTGCTATTCCACTGAGGATACCAGGGTTTTCTTCTGCAGGAGGTTGGCAGGATTTCCACCTTTTCACTTTGCTTGTCCTCTGGCTCGTGCCTTGGGCAGGGGATCCTGGCTTTGTCTGCACCACAGCCCTGCATGTCTGATCCAGAGGAGACTCTTATGGGCACCAGCACTAGAGCTTCACCCTCAGAGCAGCTTTGGACACGTGTGCCTGCAGAGATGCTCAGTGGGATCCCTGGCTCTCTGGGAAAAAGGTAGTTTTATTTTTTCCCCGCTCCAGCTGAAGATGATTGAGCATCAGAGAGATCTGTGCTGCTGCAAAGATGCTGCGCTCAGTAATTCGGGCGGCGTCAGCGATCGCTGCCCTGCTCCAATCAGTGCCTAAAACCTCGGAGCTGCCTGTAATTACTCACTTGAATTGGGCTTCAGGAAGCCCTTGTGTGGGCTTTTCTCCACAATTCAGTGGCTTTCTCACCACAGAGAGGACCCTTAGGCTGTGAAATTGTCTTTCTCCTTCTTTACCTCAGAGTAAGGGTCAGCTCGCAGCAATTGCTGACCGTGGTTCAGGCTTCAGACAGTTCTACCAGGCACTTAATCCCTTGCAGTTTAATTGACTGGGAAGTAGTCAATGCTCAGTATTGACTGATCTTTCGTTAAAATTAGAAGTGAAGTATAACCTTACTCCAGGAGACAATTTTTGTTCCTTTGGCTGAGTGTAAAAAGCCAAAAAGGCGTGCATAGAGTTCTCTGTATTTTGAAGGAGACATCCAAAGGGTCAGGTCAGCAGGCATTTCTTGGATCACACCCTTTAACCTCAGAAATCTTCTGGTTTCTTGCAGTCTCCATAACTTCTTCAGTACTTTCTTTACAAAGACCAAGCAAGATCGATTAAAACAGAGAAGAATTAATCACACTCCTAAAAATACAAAAGAACTCAAAGATAGTTCTAAAAAATAAAAAAGTCTAGACTAAGTTGAAAAGAAAATTTTAACGATGCTGAATATAAACTGGAAAGTTTATATCAAATTGCCTTTGATTTTGGAACCTAGTAAAAACCTCTTTAAATTTGCTTGGGCAGTGGAGATTCAGGGATCTCTCTGAACATATCAAATTGCAGCATTCTGGCTCTTGTGTCATGATCTCAAAACATCAATTTGTTTGTGCACATTAAACAAATACACAGATATTCTTTCCTGATAGTTATCATGGCATCAGATGGCAAGATTTTTGTGTTTTCTTCTAAAACCCACTTAGGAAAGGGAAAAATAAATGTACTGCATGGAGACACAAATCTGATCCCCTAATAGGCAAACATCATCTCATTCTTCAGGGCCTTTTGTTGTGGCCCTGAGGAACTGGATCCAGCCCTGAAACTGGCCCTACTAACTGTGTGCTTCCTCACTTGGACTGCTTTGCTACAGAAAATAGAAAGGATGTGATTTCTCTTCCCTTTTAACCCTGTAGGGTCAAGCCAAGAATCAAGAGGAACAGTGGATTGCCTTAGAAGTTCCTTTTTTTCGATGGCTGCGTTTGGTGCTTCCATTTTCACCATACCAGAATAGCTTGGGAGATGCAATTGATTCCCCAGCCTCGTGGAATCCAACCTTCAAAGTGGTCTCAGCCTGAGATGGGGAAGAACTGTCAGTTATGTGTGTGTGGCCCTTGCCAGAAACACTGAACAAACTGTGGCTGCATGGTTAATTTTAGGGACATTTTAAAGGAGTGTGATTTATTTGTTTTGCTGTTCCAGCAGGCATTGAGCCAAAACAGATGAAGCCCCTTTTGGATAACTTTGAAACAGATAACCCGAATGAAACAACATAATAAATGGATGTCCACGTGTGGAAACCTTTAACAGGTTTTTTTTGGGCAGTTATCTACAACTATAAGGCAAAGCAGAAATATTCAGTGATGCAGGTGGGAAGTGCTCTCTGCTCCTCAAGTGTGGGATGGAGAGGAATTCCTGTGAAACACTGTAGTAATCTCCAAGTTTGGGGTGCAAAGTGCTTTCTAAATGTACCTTTTTTTCCTGGCAGCATATTAGGTGAGGTTAGGAAGATAAGATCTCCTGAATATGAATTTGAAGTAAGGATCCAGTGGCTGGAAGTCTTATATTTTATCTTTTTGTTTCCTGATGTCCAGTAGATTTTGTGTGGTCTCTACTGACTAAGGACCTCTTAATTTTTCTGTGTTTCAGGGCATGTGTCATGACAAATTTCTAAAGTCTTTTGTCATCTCCATCTTATCTGGCTTAACTACCAGCTACTTCTGGCCCTACACACCCTTTCACAGACTCCCAGGTTCTGCAAGTGCCTGTCTTCCAGTTTTTCCCAACCTGAATGAGATGTGACATTCTGTTATAAATAAGTTCATTATCTAAGAGTTTAACCTGTTTGTTGAACTTCCCAAGTGGCCAGCTCTTTAATAAGAACAGGTTTTTAATAGGCCTAGATGGACCTTCTGTGTTCATTTAAATTATAATCTAGACCGTGCCTGAAAGTAGGCTAATACCCAAATCCACTGAGCCAGAATACCCACAGCTCTTAGTTCGTAAAATTGTGTCCCTCAGAAGTTATTCTGCTTGACCCACTTCCTAAATCAGATTTCTACACCTGATGATTCGTTTTGGACAAAGAAATTTGGGGATTTTCGTCTGTTTGATGTGAAGTGCTGTGGTCCCAGGCAGTAGTGGGAAGGAAGAAGAACAATGTCTGTATGAAGGCTTGTGGTTTTTTTCTCTAAGTTGGACACTTCACTGTGCCTCAGTGGTTTCCTAGGCTTCAAAAACGCAAAAGGTTTGGTGAAAACAGGGGCTCTTAGAAGACTGCAAAAATGCAACAAATGCAGTATTTCAGTTTTGATGCGTTTGCATTTCACTAGAGTGCAGTTCACCCCTAATGAGAAACTTGAAATGGCCAGCAGTGAAACTTCTACAGGAGGAAGAGAAGTTTTTCTGGGGTGCCTGAAGATCATTGTTCTGGTTCTTGAATGCTTGATTGACCATGTTCTACTATTCTCGTTTCTTTTGGTTTCAAATTCAGGAGGCTTTTTTTCAAAACAAAAAGCATTTAGTGGTATTTTCATGAGCCTTTCTCTCGAAGTATAAGTGCTTTACTCTTGCTGTGATCTGCAGCACTTCAAAGACAGGAGTTGTTTTGCTTCCCTTGCACTAATAGGGAGAGGGGGCTTTTCTAAGAGGATTCACTCCAGCCTTGTTTGTCATTTAAGCAACTTAAGAGTTCGAGTCAGGATGGCTGGGGTCATACAGGCCTGAAACCATTGCATCTAATTAAAATCCTTAACTGGGACACTTCATGGGGGGGGGAGCCTGGTCGTGTCAGCCCCGTTGTTTAGTTCAGGCAACCTGAACTCCAGAGAGAGCTTCATGGCTGCCACTTCACAGTGTGGGAGATAAATACTGTTCAACTCTGTGTGGAGCATCTCCTGCTGGGAGTCTTGGACAGCAGGAGCTGTGTTGGAGACTGCTGTGTGCAGCTATGGTGTCACATGGGGGACAAGGCTGAGCCTGAGGGTTTTTTTAAGCTTCTCAGATTTTTGCAGTATATTTTCATAGTAAAGACTTTTTTTGTTTTGTTTTGTTTTGTTTTGTTTTGTTTAAATCCTCTTTAAAATTGCCGTTGACGAACGTGAGCTGCCGTGGGTGACCAGAAAGGTTGTCCCCAAAGCCCTTAAAAGCCCTTATTTCTTCATCTTCTCAGGTACCTGCTGCAGGAAAGGCCAGGACAAGAAAGCACCATGTCTGCAGTCTCAGCTTATTACAATGGAAAGACCGTTCTTATCACGGGAGCGACGGGTTTCGTGGGCAAAGTGCTGGTGGAAAAGCTCCTGCGCTCCAGCCCGGAGGTGAAGGCAGTTTATATTCTTGTCAGGCCAAAGGCAGGACAATCAATGCAAGAGAGAGTGGCCAACATGTTGAAATGCAAGGTAAGAAGTTTCTGTGGTTTATTCTAGAGTCCGGTCTGAAATCCATTTGGGTGGAGCAAGGGACTCCTGTTTTACTCAATTCATGAAGGACCAACTTCTGCTGTAGCTGTTGTATATTTTTGCTGTGTCTAAAACAACCAAAAACTGTCTTATATTAATGAACCTGGTTCTGATTTTGATAGGTGATGCAGCATTTTGCACTGTAATGTTGTAATCTTTCTACTTCCTCTTTGCATTGCTGTTTGGTGAGAGTTTTCTTTGTCTGAAGTGTGTTACCGTCCCAAATTTCATTTCTGCAAGAGGAGCAGCCTTTTGCATTCATAAACTCTGTTCCTTCCCCCTCCTGTAAAGCCTAATGTGTGAGCATTAGCCTTCAAAAATAAAACTTGAGTGAGAGCCCATCACACCCTGCTCCTCACCCTTATTGGAGAATTAAAATAATTTCACAGGATAAAGCCTCGTGGTTGCATTGCTGCAGTACAGGAGGGCATCTGCCATCTTCTCTGTCAGCTCCAGCTTAACCTCATTTAGCAAGGGATAAAATGCTGCTGCATTTGGAAAGGGTGTTTTCCAAAGATGTTTCCAGTAGAACACAAAGGCTGTGGGCTGGACAACAGACCTGTGTGACTTCCACCCACGTCACTTGATTCTGCAGAGCTTTTTGTTTGCCATCCCGGTGGGGAAATCCAGATTTCCAGTGGCAAGAACAGTGTCAATGCTGTATTTAATGTAGAAGTTTATAAGGAGACACTGCTAGACCAGTTCTCTAGAGTGGACTTGGCCCGAGGAACTCTTGGATCCTCGGGCTTTTAGGCCATTGGTGAGATCATGGACTTGCTCAGACTCCTCCAGCTTTGGTAAGTGCCAGAGTTCAAGCTAATGCTTAATGCCAGTGTGACTCTGTACAGGGCTGATGTGAAATGAGAGGAAGGGACAGATCTGGCCCTAGCAGGCAAGGAATTACTTGGAATTAATCTGAGAAATGTCAACATATTTTTAGAGCATTGGCCTGTAAGTTTGAACAAGACTTGACTGGAAGAATAGTCCTCCTCCTTCTACAGAAGTTAGAGGTAAAATAGGTCTGTAGATAACTTTGAGACAAGAATGACTGGGAGAAAAAATGCTTTTTTTCTTTTAATGTTTTGAGGCAGTAAGCTAGAAAAGATCTTATGTCTGTGCAAGAACAGAGGTCGATTATCTTTGGTGTGTTTTTAATGGAGGGTAGGTTGCTCTCATGTTCAAGAAAATTTGTGACATAAAAGGAAGCAGTCCCATTGGTTGTTTTTTTGCAAGTCTCTCACAGAACGATTTAGCTTCAAAAAGACCCTGAAGATCTTTAAGTCCAGTATTTAACCCAACACTTCTGAGTCCACCACTGAACCCTGTCCCCAAGCGCCACATCCACACAGCTGTAAATACCTCCAGGGAGGGTGAATCAACCACTGCTCTTGGCAGCCTGTGCCAGTGCTTGACAGCCCTTTTGGAGAAGATTTTCTCCCAATGTCCAGTCTAAACCTTCCCTGGTTCAGCTTGTGGCCTCTTGTGCTGTCACTTGTTCCCTCACCTGGCTCCCCCTCCTGTCAGGGAGTTGTGGAGAGCAAGAAGGTCCCCCCTGAGCCTCCTCTTCTCCAGGCTAAACATCCCCCAGCTCCCTCAGCTGCTCCTCACAGCACTTGTGCTCCAGACCGTTCCCCAGCTCCCTTCCCTTCCCTGGACACTTCCAGCCCCTCCATGTCCTTCTGGTAGTGAGGGGCCCAGAGCTGGACACAGGACTCAAGATGTGTCCTCACCAGTGCCAAGCCCAGAGGGACAATCACTGCCCCGGAAACGCCAGACCTAGTTATTTGTCAAGACTTGTACAAGCTTTGTTTGCATTTTATTTTTGCATAAATACTACTGGCTTATCTCTGCAGTTGGCCAGCACAGCGTGGTGGTGGTGTTAGCTCTAGGTGAGGCTCCCTAGGAGCTGCTTTATTGTTGCAGCTGTACCAGATTGCACCCATTTTCCTTCCTGGGATGTGTCAGCAGTTTTAGGCATGCCAACAGCAACCAGGACTTGATGACCTCTCCTTGAACCTTTGACTGCTTCAAGGGGTGTTTCAGGTGAACAAAAGGAGAAGGCAGGTCTCTGAGTTAGGTTGCTGCAGCCTTGGAAAGAAAAGCTCTAAGGGTGCATTCACAAGTCCTCCAGATCCTCTCAAGGAAGGAGCTGTTTTTTGTGATGCTGATCTTTTTAAAGTAACTGAAAAATTCTCGCCTAAGGCATAAACCCTACTCTTCAAAGGTGTCTTCCTTGTGAAAATGTTGACAGCCTTTGAGATTTATTTTTCTAGTAATGAAACTGTTGGTTCCACTAACTGTTAATTTCGTGGCAGATGAAGAGGGCAAAAAATACAATTCTTAACATTTTTGCGGATTGTTTCCAGTTGAGTTTGCTGTAGGTATTGTCTTTAACCCATAGAATGGGTCATTCACAATCTAGAGATTGCCCTTTCATTTACAGTTGTGGTTTGCATTCTCCAGTTTTGGGAAATCACAGAATCAGCTGGGTTGGAAAAGTCCTCTGAGGTCATTGGGTCCAGCCTTCGACCTAACACCACCTTGTCAGCCACATTCTGTGATTCTGTGGTTCATTTTACATTTAGCTCTGATCTAGTATCATCCTCTGGAATTTCTTGTTTTCACATCCAGCAGGGCAGTATTCCAGGAACCAGAGAGATAGAGAAAAACAGGTTGCCAACTTGTGAATATTCTAAACAAAGAGATAAAATGAGTGTTTGGGATGAAGTAAGATGAAAGCAGACAGATAGATTGGCCAGAATTAGTTACAGTGCTTCAGGTAAGGTCCTCTGGGGACTCCTGATTTTTGGTAGTACTTACAAAGATTTTGAAAGAACTTGCCTAGAACTTTTGATCTCTCTTCGTGTATCTCTGTGAAATTTTCGTGGCTTTTGTCATTGTATCTAGAGGGGTTTAAACTCTGAGGTGTCACATTTGTGAGCTGTCTTGTTCACAGGGTGTGTATGTGATTATGCTAGAAGATGACTCCTGTTAAGTAGAAAAGCAACTGTAAGTTACAAAAGGGTGATGTGGTGTGAAGGAGCAAAATAGCTGAGTTTGTGCTTTTCAGTGTTTTTTATGTTTCAACTTCTGAATCCAGCATGAAGAGTAAAATACAAAAAATGGGTTGGTCGTAAATCAGAATTCTCTGTCTGTGTTCTGCAGCTGAACAGACAGCTTTGAAACGTAATATAATGCTGGTTTGCTCAGGTCTTGTTAAATTAGTTTTACATGTGGATGCATTATTGCATTAATAGGAAACATGTAATGAGCAGATACTCAATTATCTCAGCATCAAATCCAAAATGAGCATGTGCATTGAGGAATGCGTGGTGACCTTGCCTATTTATGAAAGGAGATGTTCTATTTTCCAGCAGCAAGTCCCTAAGGGAATCAAACTATTACCCTGTGCTTAATGAAATGCCATGTCTGCATTGCACAGAGCGCAGATGTTACACAAAAAAAACCCCCAAAATTTCAGTAGTGGCTGCATTTCTGAAGATGTGGATCATGAGGCAAAGCTTGACAGTGCTGTTTAATCGTTAGTTGATGGGAGGTGTGTGTTTATCAGAGGTAGGGAATTGTTTTGAGGAGTAATTTTTGTTGTCTGATCCCTCTGTGCACAGGAATAGGCAGGAATGCTTGGAGGGGTTGTCTGAGATTCCCTGGAGAGCAGTTACTGGGCTGATGCTGAGTCACTGATCGTAGCTTTCCCGGTGTCCCTGGGAGAGCAGAGCATTTTCCATGCCCTGCATGCACTGAACCAAGCCTGCTGCTGCTGCCAGGCTGTTTCTCAGATCTATTTGTTCTGTGCTCCCAATTAGAAAGATGAGTCAAAGCAGGGAGTGGAAAAGGCTCTTATTAGTGTTTCTGATAATTCAGAATAAAAATGGGAGGCTGTGAGGCCACTGAAAATGGGGAGTTGGGTGTGACCAGAAATACCTCAAAGTGCTGCTGCTTTTTCCTGTTGTCCAGCCACAGTAATTCTTATAGTTACAGTGGATGGTACAGACTGACCTTCTCTTCCCTGCAGAGCTTTGTCTGGAACTGCACATTAGGGTGGGACTGACCAACTGGAAACAGCAGATGCTTAGTGCTATCAGACTCCTTTGCCTCTTCAGTATTTCCTTGACAAGTGTGTTATATAGCAAACATACAGCAAGACCCTTTGTTAGCCCTATAGATTTCACCAAATCATGCCAGATTTATCTTGTCCCACCTCCTTTGACTCTCCCTATCTCTGCTCCCTCGCTCATGGCTCTTGCTCATCACTGTAAGCAGTAAAATTTCTCCACGGGAAACCAGCACAGCATCGCCCCGTGTGAATCCCCTCAGTGTGACCCTGCAGTGGTGCATGTACCTCAGTCAGAGTAATGAGGTTTTTAGGTTGGTGGAACAGGATCCCACTTGCTCAGTAAGAGGTCTGGAAACTGCTAATTGGAGTGAAACAAAGCTGAAGGTGTTTTCTGCTTTATTGCTTATTTAGATTTGCCTCGCTTTGGTGAGTAAATTAGCAGAAATAACTCTGGTGCTTGTGCACCAAAGGAACAAATCTGTCATTTTAACAAAAACTAGTTTCTTACTTGACCCTGTGATTTGGAAACCACTTTGTGGAGAGGAGTTACATCTCAAGGGTGGTATCTGACACGAATGTGGGCAAGGCTCTTAAAGCAGTCTGTTCCTCTTTCCTGAGCTACCACTAACTGTTCCTTGTTCCATTTCAATTCTTTCTCTTCTCCAATTTGTGTTCCTGTTGCAAGACTGGTATGCCACACAGCAGTTTAGAATTTCTTCACACCCTCCCCAAGCTGATCAGGGATGCATTCAGAGTTATGGAGTTAGAACAACCCTAAATCTTCGTGGCTGTGTCTGTTTTGTTACGCTGATGTGTGACCCATGACAGCATTAGAAATAATAACTCTAATTTCCTGTACATAATG